CTGTGTTTGGGTTACTATGATGGTTTTAAATCTTAATTTATGGAATATTAAAGCCCTAGGATGCATTAATTTATTTATATGCTAATGGTTTAAACCGTGGGAAAATCCGAAGCAAGTCACAGGCTGTTTACGGACTTGACGGACCGGAAGGATTTAATTGTGCAAACGGTGTCTAGAAATTTAAAAGGGGTTAGAACATGGATTCTAATCATTGTACCATGCTACATTAGAGCCACACTTGATAAATTAAGGTCTTAGTACTCATGGATTTAACAGTAGGAAAGTGTACCATGGTACAGGTGGTTAACGGATGGAAGGAGTTCAATTGCCTAATTTCATTTTAGCAATTTAACGGAATATGTTTATATTTTTAAATCTTGTTTTGGTTGCACACTAGGATTATTTAATTAATAAGTTTGGTTTGTGCATAATTGGATATTAATGGTTGAAATGCTAAATTCCTTTCTGCAATACATGGATTTAAGCTTAGAATTTTAATTGTTGTAATATTAAGCATTACACTGCAATTACTTGGATTAGGGTTTGACATTAGATTGACAGAACCTAGTTATCAGTCTAATTGGATGTTGGCTTGGAATTAATTGAAGAATTAAATATATATTTTCTATCAATTACCTGGATGGCTGCTGGAATTTAACTTGACGAATTAGTAAACTTTGTCTCGTTTAATTACATTGATGGATTCTGGATTTTTAGTTGATGACTTGTTTCAAATGCTGTGTTTATCAACTATATGGATAATGTGGACTTTATTTGGTGTATAGTATAAAATGTTACATCATTTACGGATCATTTGCATGTATGCATCGGTATGGGACGGTGTCATACGGAGGGACGGATTAGGTCACAACGCTAATTCCTACCCATTCATACATATGGAATGGATTAACTAAAATAGTTAAATCTTACATGGTTTCGTGTTCTGTCAACTAAAACAGTTGAACGACATACTGGATGGTTGTGTATATTTCTGTATTAGGAAGGATAGGGTTTAGCAGTGGACTTCTTTTCAGTGGTTCGTTTTCCAGTATTTGTTTTGATTAGGGGTCCACCAGATGGATTCCCGAGTTGTATTAGAATTGGAAAAGTTGGATGTATCAGATTAATACTTTATTTATAAAATTTTATTCTGAAGTTTTCAGTTTTGGATTATTATTCTAGTTTCTTTTCAGCAGTTTTATTTATTCCTGTTTCCTTAATTGTATTCTGTGTTCGTTTCTTGCTAATTGGTTTGATATCCTCGGGTAATTGGGCATGGGCTTGGCCAACCCGCATCTGAAAATCCGGGGGTATCACAATATCCTATTTCAAGGTTAATTGGTTTTTGACATTAAAAGCAAAAGGGGGAGATTGTTGGTCTTAAATTATCTTAAGGAATGTTTGCCTTTTAATGTCAAAAAGTGTGCTTTTAGTGGCTTCAAGTATAATTTATTTCTACATTGTGTATTGAAATAAGGTCCAGGGGTTGTGTTGACATTTACTACCTTGTATCACATTGTTCTCAGTGATTTGTAATAGTGGATTGCAATGTCTCAGTCTGTTTTGATCAAAATCACTGTGACAGTGAAGGTTCAGTACTCCAGTGTTAGTTACAGGTGCTTATAAGGGTACTATGGTCTTTTTCAGTTGTATTCCATTGTCATACGTTTGTCTTGATAGTTGGATTGCGCTGAACAACCTTTAGTGAACCTGCATTGTGAATTATATAGTCTCAGGACTATCTGTTGGCTGAGAAGAATAAAAACTATTACAAGGGTATTGTGGTCTTTTCCAGCTTTGCTCCGGAGTGTTCCACGTCTCAGTGGTCCTAGTGAGATGATATATGCAGAATTATTGTATTAGAGGCTAGTTTGGATAAAATTGGAATTCAGTACTCATACCTGTAACCTGTTGTAACTGGTGAGAATAGTGACACATTAGCTGAGGTGGCAGGCCTACATTGGTGCATTGCTCTGAAAAATATCTGAATATGCTCTCTCAATCATTGGCTATAGGTGACAGGTGTATATCCTTGGTTTGCGAGGCCTTGTGTAATTCAATGTTACTATAAATATGCTGTTATAGTGACTTTTAAGGTTGAAGCCTTGTAAAAAGTTGAGAAAAGTGAGCTGTAGTTGGTAGTCTCTTGAGAGCTTTGAATGAACAAGTTTTTCTGAGTATTTTGATGATGATCCTTACAAGAAAAACCCATTAAATCAACTCAGGAGTATGTACAAGGGGCTGAGATGATGCTGCTGTCAGATTTACTGCTGTAAGGGTTGGATTGAGTAGTGACTTTGTGTTTCAAGCTGCTGTGGTCTATTTTGAAGGTTAACACGGGTATAATTCATCTTTTTACACTTGCTCAAACTGTGTTTGTGTTGAGAATATGCTGAAAATGAATTTAGGCAGTGTGATCACTAATTAAGCTTATTTTTCTGAATTAATCTTGCATTCAAGTGCTATTTGGTTATACTTAGCTATTTCATGATGATTTATGCTGTTAGCAAGTATATTTTGATGAATCAAGATTGCTAAAGTAGAGCTTGTGAAAGAAATATGGTATGTTTTGATTTTGAGTATTCAAACCCTAAGGCTGAAGCTGTTTTGTGCTGAACCAAAGACTATGACTGAACTTTGTGAAATATTCATGCTGTGTTTGATTATGCAAAGCTATAAACATGAGTACAACAGTGAAAGAAGACTGTGTAAGGTGCTGGTGAATTGATCTCGAGAGGAATTTCCAATTTTACCCCTCAAACCTTAAGCGTTGCAGATTGTGGTTTTGAGGCAGTATATTGGATTTCAAAGTTGTCCAGCTTATTCTTATTGTTGTAATGACCCTCTTGAATTAATCTACATCTGTAATGGTGTGTGTGGTGAGCTATGAGAGCTTATTTGGTCCAAGCATGGTTGCTTAGGACATGGGGAGTGCTTATATGTACTGTGGTGTACTAGTGTGTGTATTGGTTGTGGAAACTAGTGTCTATTCTTGTTCCTGGGTGTGTGCAGAGAGTGAGGCAGCTAAGTGTGTAACAAGATACATATAGCTAGTAGTGGATTGCTTATTAGTTGAGGCCAAGAACCAAGGTTTTCCCTAGTTAAGAGGGTTTCCTTGTAAACCTTGTCTTTTCTGTTCTTTGAATATTTGTTTAATTGTTTTGAGAAAGTTTTATAAAGCAAAGTTTAGCCAATTCACCCCCCTCTTGGTCCAACAAAAAATAGGCAAGAATTCCCCCTTGCTTGAGGGGTTGCCCTTTGAACCGACCCTAGATATCGACTAACATAACAAAATCAAGCTTTGGAAATCATCTTTATTTTATTAAATGTTAAATATATAAGTATTATATGGTAGGGGCATTTTAGGAAGAGAAAAAAAGTAAAATGAGTATTGTATTAATTGAGGGGTATTTTCGCATAAATTGAAAAGAAAAAGAATGTTTTTTTGCACTTTTTTTTCAACAGGGACTAAAAGTGTTATGGATAGTATACTTAGGGCTTGTTTACTAACAGAAATGATTCCTAATTTCTGCTGTCAATTCCTAAAATTGGGAATCAAAAGTAAAAATTGTGTTTAATAAAATACTTTCACTTTTTTGTTTTAAGAAAGTAATTCCTGATTTTGTAAAGAGAGGAGAAAGTGAGAAATCCTCACTTTCTATATTTTCTACACTGTTTGTAGAAATCACTTCCTCTACCGTAGCATTGATATATATATATATATATATATATATATATTCTAACTAATCATCTGTATCACCTCCTCTCCACCACGGTCATTGCCACTGCCACCTCCTCGCCGTCGACAAACACCGTCACCACCACCATTGCCGACAACTACCACCATCATCGCTTCTCTCTCCTCTCTCTCTCTCTCTCTCTCTACAAACACTACCAAACACTGTCGAAAACTGAAACCCTTCATCGTTTTGAAAGAGCAAGGTCAATATGAAATTCCTCCTCAAAGAAGTAAAAATCAATGGAATTCTCTGCCGAATCGGAGACCCTGGTGGTCTTAAATGCCGTCGCCGCCGATGGAGTTCAAGTCGCATCCGATGAGAGGTGAGAGAAGACATAAACGGCGGTGACGATATTTTACTCTGCTTTCAAAAGTCAAAAAGAAAAAGATATGAAAAGTCAGCTTTTGATTTTGATCCCTAAAGATTAGACCTTCCAAGTTCAAAAATACCAGAAATGGAAAGATTCAAATGGAAATTCATTCTCGAAAGGCACAATCTGATTCCACTCCCTTTCTTCCTAAGAATAGAGATCGTGAGAGCGAGTTCTCACCTGCCCTCATCAGGTTCAAAAATGGAAATTCATTAGGCACAATCTGATTCCACTCCTTTTCTGTAATGGAAATACGCTAAGGAAGCGAACAACTCTACAAGAAATTCATTCAACTTCAATATCACTCCGCCTGTCAAAAAAGGAAGTTGACCCCCATACCTGCAGCTTGTGTGATTCACTCTATTGGTCTGCTTTACGGTGCGTGCTATGCAAGGGGTATAGCTCTGGGAACGGGCTTAGACGATGGATTGACTAATGGCTCGCCGGATATGACCAAGTTCATCCGGCATTGAGAGACCCAGTTAGAGAAAGAAAAAATATATATATAGAGAGAGAAAGGTAAAAGAAGCAAAATTAAAATTGCTAAACTTCCTTTTTGATTTTTACTTTCAAAATATTAAAAATAAAATTTTGTTATTAAACACGATTTTACTTTCTATTTCATCTCTAAAAAGTAAAGCGTTAGTAAACAAGAGATTTTTTTTTTTTTTTGTTGCACTTACCCCTGTTTATTTAATAACGAAATATTACATTTGTTCGACATATGTCAGCAGCCCTTCGCATTCATTTGGCACCACTACACTCTCTCAGACTCACTCGTGAAATTTCTGAGATTATTAGTATTATAAACTCAACGGACCCTCTCGATAAGCTAAGCTAGGGTTTCATACTCTCATCTCACTTTTCTATCAAAACTCAAAACCCTAAAAATGTCGGACTATTTCCCCCAAGAAGTGTTGATCGAAATACTCTCAAGAGTCCCGGTGAATTCTCTGCTGAGATTCAGGTGTGTGTCTAAGTCCTGGCTCTCTCTCATCACCAGCCCTAATTTCATCAATACCCACGTCAATCAGTCCAACAACAACAACTCTCACCTTCTCATCAGGTACTTCTCTCTCAACCCCAGCAGCCAAGAGCGCTATTCGGTCCATTTCGACACCCAAACAACACTCGATCACTATACAGAATTCAACTGTCCATTCAAGACCCGTTCGAAAACCTTCTTCCGACTAGTGGGCACTTGCAATGGCTTGATTTGCCTCTCAGACGACCAATTTGGCTACACCTACACTCTAATCATCTGGAACCCGGCGATTCGGAGGTGTGTGAGCCTTCCTAGGCCTCGCGTATGCTTCGATGTCTATGGTCCTTATATGTTTGCTCTTGGGTTCGGAATCGATTCTCGAACCAATGACCACAAGCTGGTGAGGCTCGCGTGGCTCCAAAACAGAGTGGGTTCTTGGGATACAAGTAAAGGTGTTACGCGACTGTTGTATGCAGGAGGGGAGGAGGGTTATCTACCTCCTCCTGAAGTCGAGGTCTTCTCTCTCAGCACTGGCTCTTGGAAGACGGTTAATGCTGATGCTCCTCCGTATAAAATGATTGATCATTTCTGCTCGGCAGTTTTTCTCAAAGGGTCTCTGCATTGGCTCGCTCATAAGCGAATGGATGACTCGAATCGCAGTTATCACAGTGCAATTTTGGCATTCGATATCGGTCGTGAGGTGTTCGACGACATGATTCTTCCAAAACGGTTGGCTAGCAAGTTTCCACTCAACTTGACAATTGGAATGTTTGAGGAGACACTTGCTGTTTTTCACTATGATGACTGGAATTTGACCAAGCGTTGTGCTGTGTGGGTGATGGAACAGTTCGGGGTAGCTGAGTCCTGGAGGAAGCAATTCACTGTTGAGATTCAAGAAGGAATAGGGGCGGCACTCGGGTTTAGGAAGAATGGGGAAATGATACTGGTGAAGGGTAATGATGAAGTGGTTCTGTATGACCCGGGCAGTAAAGCTTTTAACAGTCTTGGAATTCATAGCAATAGAGACTCAGTTTTTGTGGGTACCTATGCTGAGAGCCTGGTTCTGCTTGATGGAGTGAATGTAGTCTTGGGGGCACAGGTGGAGTCTTGTTCCACTATTAATTCTGAGGAAGAAGCTGTTTCGGGTAGTCAAGATGAAGCCACACGTCTGGCGGATGCACTTCAACAAAACTCCATGATGAATCGCTTTTTTGCAGTACATTTTCTCAGTTACTAGTATGTCTTCTTTCTGAAAGATATAGTTTTGACTCTCAAGGCTAACTATCAATGCCAAATCTTGACATTGCGTTACGGCACCACATGTAAATGCAGATATGTTGCCCTTTGTTAAGTTGTTTGGGTTAGTCTAATTTTACCTTCGGTTAGATATCTGCATTTTAAGGTCATCAAGCAGTGTTACAATACCTGTTTGATGATTGGACTAATAGTTGTAGTGTCAGGGTTTGATGTTATACAGCATGGTTGAGGAACCATTGTGTGCTATTTAATGTTCTTCCTGCTTTATTTCACTAAGCTTTACTGTTTTATCATCAATGAAGTTCTGTTTTTAAAGTAGTTGTTTTGCTGAGTTGGGTTGGTTGGATCCAAGCTGTGCATTGAGAGCTACATAATCAACTTCTTTTAGCAGAAATAATTACTTCATGCATTATGTTTTTGATTGCTCAAATACTTTGTGCTCTGCTGTGTGTGTGTGTGTGCGCGAGGTGGGGGCAGGGTTGCAATGGAAGGTTTTTGGAAAACCCTCAGGTGTGTTTGAAGGTCAAGAATGGAGCATCTTTACTTAAAGACCAATTTGTTTTTGGTATATGATTACAAGAATGCTTCAACCTAGAGAGAAGGATGAACTTCACACAATGAACTTGTGATGCAATTGCTTTCCACCATTTTGATTCTGACAATTTATTTATTTTAATTTTTTTCTCTTGCTAAATACACAGTACTGATTTAGAGCTAGCTGCATATGTCAGTTTTATATTCAGTTTTGTATTAAAGTAACTCTTCTAGTGTTAATGTTTTTGGTCATATATGAATGCAATGATTATGGTGTTGAGCAATAAAGCCATATTATGTTTTCCGTCCTTGTGGTGAACTACACATTAATAATGTTAACCTTGGTTTTGTGCAATCCTGTACTGGTGGGATGTTATGCCTCTAGTTTATGGTTCGGTTAGAAGTCAACAATTGGGGATGCAAGGAAGGCAGAAGCCACAAAACATGGATGAAAAAGGAAATGCATTTTTGTGAATGTTTCGGGGTTTTAGTAAACTTCTTTCTTTCTGTATCTCTTTTTTGTTTTTTCGTGCGCGCACACACATATATAATGATTGTGGTTGTTAGTGGATACAAGCAATCAAGTTACACACTCTGTAATAGGATACAAGTAATTAAGCTGCATTCTTTTTAATAGTTTAAACTTTTGAATAGATGATGGTAACTGGTAAATATGGGATCATAATAGGCAAGGTGTTGAGTTCAAATCTCATCGTCACCTTAATAACTATTCTGAGATTTGGCCATGCGTGATGGGTGTGTTAGAAGATATGAATAATTTTACACATTCCCTAACACAGTCTGAGATTTTAAAGTAGATGGTGGTTCATATCAGTTAACACTTTCAATTATTTAGTGTAGTCAAGGTGGATGAAGTATCTTCATTGTTGGATATAGTATGAAGAAAGTAGCATAGTTGAGTGTTTGCGCATAGTGATAGCATGATGGGTGTGTTAGAAGATATGAATAATTTACACATTCCCTAACACACTCTGAGATTTTAAAGTAGATGGTGGTTCATATCAGTTAACACTTTCAATTATTTAGTGTAGTCAAGGTGGATGAAGTATCTTCATTGTTGGATATAGTATAATGAAAGTAGCATAGTTGAGTGTTTGCGCATAGTGATAGTTCTCTTTCCCTCTCCGCGCAAAAAACTCACACCGCCATTTGTCCCTAAGAGGACTTGAACCCTCACCTTCCACTTTGGGAGATAGAGGAGATACCACTGGGCTACCTTGGTGGTCTCAATGATAGCTTGTTTGTTGGGGGAAAAAGGTGTTCAGTGATAAAAGTATTGAGAGATAGCTATGATATTTTGAGACTTAGGCATATTGCATGGTGGGATGACTTTCACTCGGCCTAAGTATTAGGATAGAAGGTTGCTTTACAATAAAATCTTTACATTGAACTTCAATGTAAAGGTTTTGAATCATGGGTTAGTTCAACGAATTCTGGAAGCTTCCTCATGGAAATTTTCTACAATAAGACAAGTGGATTGATCAGTTGAAAGGGCCATTTTTGGAGGTTTTAGGAAATACCCAGTTTTAGTCAAATAGAAGTTTTGCCCCAATGCTCATCTGATACAGAAAGAGGTCTGCAACAATCTTATGGGCGCGGCGAAATGTTGTGTGCAATTCACCTGTTCTTCCTGCTATATTTCACCTATCTTTACTGTTTTATCATGAATGAATATCGTTCTAAAAAAAAAAAAAGTAGTTTTGTTGTGTTGGTTTGGTCGAACCCAAGATTTGCATTGAGAGCTACATAATCAAGTTCTTTTAACAGAAATCATTGCTACTGTAATGGTGATGCCTTGTGTTTTTGATTGCTAAAAGTAAGTCCCTTTATGTGCAAATTGAGGTCAGTTACATCTCCTGTCACTTCTGATGCCGTATCGACTCGTGGTGTTCATTTTTATGATTAATTATTTTCTTCTATTTTATAATTAATAGTTATTTAAGTACCATTCATCTTGTTGGTACCCTGGCTTTTGCAACAGTTTTAGTGAGCAGAGATTATGTAATTATCATACGTATCCTAGTTACTCTAATATGTACTTGAATCACCAGGATGAAATGCAGAAGTATTAGTGAACATACCACCAAATAGTATTAAGCATCCGTATATAAAACTAAGTAAAATGATAGATTGTTAGCTACAAATGTGTCATTCGTATACTTTGCAGGAGAGCCGTCTCATTTGGGCTGTTAAATACAATTTTTTTTGTTTTTTTTTGGATAAATGGGCGGGATTGTAATTCAATGAATTAACTTTTGGATTTTGTGAATGGCATAAAGCTATAATGTTGCTATTGTCTTCTTTAGGAGCACTCCCCTTTTGAGTTGTCTTTTATAAAAATCTTACTTTGGAGATAAATATTTTAAAAGGAGAGAAACTATTATATTCTTATCCAATAATAACATACCAGTTCTTGTTGGATACTATTTATTAGAGTTGTCCAAAAAACCAATGGGCTATTGTATCATTACTCTAAATGAGTTGGTGTTGTCTTGATGCCATTTAATACTCTCTCTATCCCATATTAGTTGTCCATGTTGAAAACTTTGACTCATTATTATTTTTATCTTTAATCTTTGAGTCATTTAAGGTCATTTTTAATCATATTTCTCTTATATACTTACATACTACCTTTGTACCACATTAGATATCCACTTCGAAAACTTTGACTTACAATTTTTGTAAGTCAAAGTTTTCGAGGTGGACATCTAATATGAGACGGAAATTTAGACCTTTAGCCCAAATAACACCGTCCCTAAAATTTATTAGGGAAGGCATATACTGTCACTAATAAGGTACGTATTAGAGACGGACAAACTGTCTCTAATACATTATTTTTTAATTATAATTATTGTATTAAGGACGGATGGATTGTCTTTAATAAATTTATTATTATTATTATTATTGTATTAGGGATGGATAGACGGTCCCTAATACATTATTATTATTATTATTATTATTATTATTAAATTTCTGATGGGTATAAATTGTTCCTAATACTCTAATTATTAGTTTATTATTATTATTATTATTATTATATGCTTGATTTGTGGGTTTAACCATTCCGGACACATCGATATTATTATATGCAAAATCTAAACAAAATAGATCTACAATAACATTAAAAAAGATATTACTAGCCATCAAACAAAATAAATCTACAATAACATTCAATATCCATAAAATCTCCAATTTTCTAAACAAAAACTAAGACCATCTGCTAGCACAAAAAATGGTTCCATCCTCTTCAAACCAGATGCAAAGTTATCAAAATACATCCTAAAAAAGATAAATATTTTTAAAATATTATCTCTTTATCGCATTAGTCATTCTGTTGGTGGTTATGGTGGTGCTTGCTGGTGGTGTTGATATTGCCACCATGTTGGTGGCGGTTGCTGATATTGTCACCTTATTGGTGGCGACTGCTGAAAATGAGAGTCTGGTGGAGGTGGCGGTGGTTGGTGATACTAGTTTGGTGGGGTTTGCTGCTGTTAGGAATCTGATGAAGACTGTTGTTGGTGGAACCATGGTGGCGGCTGCTGTTGCTATTGATATTGGAGGAACCATGGTGGTGGCTGTTACTAGTGCTGCTCAAGCATCTTCTCAAGTTTATCTATCTTTTTTACCAATTGTACATTTCTTTCCTCAGCCATTTCGGCCATTTTCCTAAAAGCCTCGTTATATGATAAGGAGGCACGTTGACGCTTTGGAGCCACGAAACCATGTCCGAATTCACGGTAATATCCCTTTCTTATGCCTAGTTGGTTTTGCATTATCTCAACATCATTTATGATTGGACTCTACCATCAGAATTTTGAGAATTTTGTGAAGACTTTTCTTTCATTGCATCCTGCAAAATATTTAAGTTCGCTATCAAATTGAAGGAATATGGCATAGGAATCAATCATATGCAAGCTAGAATATTAATCTTAATAGAGAAAAAAAAAAAAAATGTTGAAGCATCAACAATTAGCTACTTAAATATGAAAGAAAACAAGTTAGTTATGGGCAGGAAGAGTTTAATTAATTAATTAATTAAGCTAACATTGACAAAACAATCATGGAAATGAAGACGAATGAGCTAGGCTGGCAGGAATGCGTGATCAACTCCAGTTAGACTCTTAAAAATTATTATGCAAACTAGAACTCTTAAGTATTCAATATTATCGATAATCTTCAGTGCCGATTATTTTTATCAAATATGCTCTTAAATGTGGTTCTTATTTAGTAAGCCTCTGTTTTAGAACAAATTTTGAGAATTTTCAGTAAATTCAATGGAAAAAATTGTTGTCATTTTATCAGAGAGTTGACAATTTGTTCCATTGAACACTAGCTTTGTAATCAGCTGACACTGACTTGGCTATATGATATGGTAGACACTTGTACTAGTTTGATTATTGTTATTGAATTTCTAAAGCTTACAAA